CCCCCTAACCGATCTATCGTAAAGCTTAGTCATCGCACTAATCAACAAACAGGGACATCGGACTGAACACCCAGCACTGATCACGTCACTAGTCATAAGGAATCTCACGGATTGGTTCCCTGACTACCTTAAAAACCCAATCAACCTACTTACTTACTCACTTGGCCTGACGAAGCTTTTGTGTCAAAAGCGAAACGTTGCCCAGCAATAAATCCACCGATTGTTTACCAAACCCCTCTGAAATAAACTGAATTGTTCATCTGTTTCACGCCCATGTTAGTCATCCATCTAATCCATTAGAGAGGCTACGTGGAATAAAACACGGAGGACCGGATAGTGGTTGGTCACCGACTGGATACCTAATGGAATTAATTGCAAACCTTAAAGGCCGTTATCGGTTTTCGGCATCTGTTTTTTATCTTGCAATCAAAGTATGGACCATAAACACGAGCATTTCTACCGAACGTGTGATATTTGTCGATCGTATCAGCTTTCAAATGCATTAGGATGTATCTCAGCTGGAGATTGTGACCCAATCACTTCAGCTCAGTTTACCACCTCAGTGCTCCACAGTTTACGTCCATGCTGGGTAATACCCTCAGAAACTAAACCCGAAAGCTGTTAGAAGGCGGCGCAAGCGGAGAAACACCCATTTGCCGATTAATTTGGTTCTAACTGAGGATTTTAGCTGAATCTCTCGTTTATGATATACTTCAACTGCATGTGCTACGTACAGGGTGTCTCATAATCAACAAAAAATAATACTCATGTTAAAACTTTAAAATTAATTTAAACATTTATCATTTTTTATATAAACATACATGCTTTATGGAGTTTTTTTTGTAAATAAACTAACATTACAAAATATGTCGAAAAAATCGCCCCTTTCTTCTATAACAAGTTGGGGGTGGTATGAGATGTGAGACACGGCATGTTTAACTTCTTCGAGCGTCACTCGTGCAGACGCATGTTCAATTCTTGCTCTTAACCCCACCAAATACTTCGGTTTATTTTCATGATATACACGAGCCCCGATCATTCCCCAAAACCAATAATACAGAGGTGTGAGATTGGGCGACCTTGCGGCCAAAAGTTTGGAAATCCACGAGCAATGACTCTCTCATCAAAAAATTGCTCTCGGAGGTAAGTTCGCACTTCATCTGAGTGGTGGAGTGGAACGCCATCTTGTTAAAGGACGGTCGATGACTTCTTGTGCTCCTTGAGTTGCGGGATAACAGGCGTACGTATCACATGGAGGTAACCGTCGCCGGAAACCGTAGCATCAAAGAAAAAGGGACGCAGGAAACACTTTGAGGAGAATCCCACCGACACAAAGAGATGAGGGGAATAAAGCTTATGGGTGAGGTACTCGTGAGGAGCTTCACGGGACCATATCACGCAATCGTGCCTGTTGATTATGCCATCCACAGAAAAATTTGCTTCAGCGCTCCATAAAATGTCGGGAACGATTTCTTCATTGTCCAGTAGCCAGCTAATGAACGTGACACGTTGCTCCTTGTCTTCTTTCGTGATGTTTTCTAATAAAGTGAAATGATACGGGTAGAGATGAAGGTGGCGTCTCATAATGCGATACCTGCTGGCGCGGGGAATGCCGGTCAACTGAGACACCTGAGTTATTGACGAAGATGCCATGGTGCTCTGGGACTAAAGTTGCTCGACGGCATTCTGTACAATGGGTGCTCTTTCATCACTCAGACTTTCTCCCTTTGCCAGGAAAATCCAATACAGATCCAGTGGACTCAAATTTTGCAATCAAGCGTGTAATGGTCGACACGGTGAAAGGACCTTTGATGAGACCATGTTTGGTTTTGTAATCACGAGGTGCAGCGGTGGCGCTTTCACCAGGGGAATAATAGAGTTTCACAATTTCAGCGCCCTTTCCGACATTTATCGCAAACAGAAAAATGTTAACACTTACACACAAAACCTCCTTTATGTGCCTACTGATAAAAAATTGTTATCTTTCTTTTCAATTGCTACGTCTATTAGGAGACACTTATGTTTTGCTGGGCATACTATTCATGAGGTAAACGTTGAAGATTGTGGTCTTAACTGTTGCCTCACTTCTTGAGTGACAACTCCCGAGCTGGACCGCTGTCTAAAATCAATATGTATCATCCCATTCGATCTGAGTGTTTGAGAACGCTTACGAAATTTGAAAGTTGTTTACAAACTGCATTTCCATTGTGGTTGTCTTCCTCAAGCTCGAACACACCGATGACTAGCAATTGGTCCCGATCGCTCCGTTTAGAACTAAAGTTTACCTCTTTAGGTCCTTTGAAATACTATCGCTACTCTCTGGAAACCTAATAAGTCCACTGAATTACTAAATTTGGATCAAAACGAATATGGCATTCTCAGGTACTGATGAGAACAGTCGTGAAGGAACTGTCAGCGTTAGCTGACCCAGTATCAACAGGATAACAAAAAACACACCTCCGAAACATGAGGCTGTCTGGAAACATCACGAACGAGAGATTGAGCCGGGTTCCGGGTCTCACGAAAAACCAAATTTGTTTGCAAATGAGTGCACTTCGCTAATTTCGTGCAATTCGGTTTCTAGTAGAACATAAGGTTGACGGAAACTTGAGGACCGCGCCAACCAGATGAGTCCGAAACACAAGGGCGAAACCGGTCGTGGACTGTCGACGAACTTTCAGCAACCTTATGAGTAGTGCGACATCGCGGTATCTCGAATATCATAGCGACTGAAACATGAGGCGGCCTGATTCAGCACATTCAGTTGCCTGGAAAAATCACAAACAAGAGATTCAGCTATGTTCCAGGTGAGTCTCTAAAAAAACATATTTGTCTGCAAATGAGTGTATTTCACACTTCGGTCCTCTTTCAGCCATGAAACCAGAAATGACTCATCACTAATCAGGCTCTATGGAAGGACCGGTAGTGCAGCTGCTTGCTGTGGGACTCACCGTCACTGTTGTAGTTCTAATCCACCTGGTACTGAATCTATGAAGCAGCCAAAAATCGTTTTTATCGCTGAAGAAATCTACTCATAAGGTTGCTGAAGACTCTACGTCAGCCCACGACCTTTATCGTCCTTCCTACTCAGGCTCATCAGGTGTGCCCAGTCCCCGAGTTTCCGTCAACCTTTTGCTTTACATGAACCAAAATTAGCGGAATTCGCGAAACACTGCTTTAATTTAGTTTTTATCAGAAACTCAGCTACATCGCTGTTGAATCTCTCGTCTATGAAGTTATGCATCTGAATGTACTACATAAAGGCAATAGTATATTGTCACAAATCAGTGATTCAGCAGAAACACATTTGAATCTCTCATAAAAACCGAATCGCTGTAAAAATAGGTGTATTTAACCGAAAACCATTGATTGTCCACAACTGAATGGAGACCAACCATTGGAAACAGTTGGACTGATCTTCAACTGGTAACTCATCAGCTTTGAAAAGCCCTCGATTCTATGGAAGGATATTTCGCGAAAAAAAATTACGCCAAATCACGTTGTACAGCCAGGACGCTCCTCATTTATGGAAGAATAGCAATCCGACATCCGAATTCACCCACTTCATTCAAAAGTGCGGGTCGTTTTCTCTATGATCAATTAGGTGCGCGACAGAGCAATTCGCTCGTCGTCTGCACTCACCTCTCATTTTCTTCAAGCGTGAATGACAGTATAATGAACTCATTTGTTGGTTCCACTGTGGAAAGAACAACCCACTGTTAGGTTTGAGTAACACAACTCAAGTCTTGAACGTGATTTCCTCTTAAAGCGTTGTCATCAACACCCAATGATGAGATATGGTGATTCCAGATTCCATCCTGCAAATGGAATCAACCTGGGGAGCACCGGACTGTTGTTTTTTCTTCGCCAGCGGTGCGCATTTCACAGAAATACAGGAGAACTACCCTACCATTCAATGACCAACTCACAGCTTGCCAGGAATCAGCACACTCATTCGTTACTCGCACAGTTCATAGCATATGGTCCGATCATAACTACGTCAGATAAACGCTCATCAGAGAGAAGCCCATGCAATATGTTGAGCCTTTCTCGCCATCCCTGTTCACTCCATGTCCGTTAACTGAGTGACAAGTGACAGCACAAAATGACAGCTCTTGGCATGGGCAACAGCAGTGGGTATAATTCAAGATGATCAATAAGTCAAGCAAGCTTGCTGCGGCAACCGCCGGTGTGATAGCGAGCAATGAATCGTGTGTGGCAGAAAGAACTCGAATTTAGGTGGTCAGTGGTGTACATCGGATGGGTGACGAGATGCAATCAAAAGCGGTTTGGAAAATTCCACCGGGAAGGAAATTCGAGTGTATCACACCAAATGACTTTGTTTCAGCACAACCCATCAAGCTCTGGTTAGCCCACAATCGGTTTGTCCCTCTTGAACCTCATCAGATAGGCGCGGTCCCCGATTCTGTAACACTCACGTGATAAGGTTTTCCGTATACCGCGATGAAATTCACTTGTAAATTCGGTACCTGTCAACAGGACACCTGAAACTCTCATTTATAGTTATTTCCGCTCTTATTTTCACTTCAAACAGACAGTGATCGTGTTTTGCACACTGGTTTGACGTCAAGCCCACCCAGTGAACTTTCGGTCCAAAAGCCCAAACGGTCGCGCTGTCAGTTCAGTCGACTATCATAGTGATTACCTGTCTTGTAACATTTAGGTTGATATTTCAGCTTCCACCAAGCGCACGGGAACTTAACAGGATCGTTTCCCGGTCGATCGTAGAACTTTACTCCGGAACTGACAATTCAACAAAAGGAATCTGAAATGTTTGCCAATTTCGTCTCGTTTCTTTCTAAAAAGGCCAGAAAATAGCACGGTAGTTGGTGGTTATCAAACGACTGAGAGGCTCGTTCTTTGGATGCCGAGGTTGGCTGCATTGGTTATGGTGCAATAGCGACACTGTCGTTGGCAATTGTGGTTACATGACTTTCATGCTTCCCAGCCAACCGTAAGGTGTAGAGCAGAGTGGAGTAGAGTAGAGTAGAGGTAGAGTAGAGTAGAGTAGAGTAGAGTAGAGTAGAGTAGAGTAGAGTAGAGTAGAGTAGAGTAGAGTAGAGTAGAGTAGAGTAGAGTAGAGTAGAGCAGAGCAGAGCAGAGTAGAGTAGAGTAGAGTAGAGTAGAGTAGAGTAGAGTAGAGTAGAGTAGAGTAGAGTAGAGTAGAGTAGAGTAGAGTAGAGTAGAGTAGAGTAGAGTAGAGTAGAGTAGAGTAGAGTAGAGTAGAGTAGAGTAGAGTAGAGTAGAGTAGAGTAGAGTAGAGTAGAGTAGAGTAGAGTAGAGTAGAGTAGAGTAGAGTAGAGTAGAGTAGAGTAGAGTAGAGTAGAGTAGAGCAGAGTAAAGTAGAATGTAGTAAAATAGAGCAGAGTACAGATCACAAGATAGTTTTTTTTATTCCTTATAACATATGAGGCTTCTGCCCCTCGGAATGTCCGCCTCTGCGACCACCATTGAAGGCATTTAGCCAGAGGAGTGCAGTTAGTCATCGCCACAAGCTGGAGATGGAACAAACGGAAGAAGTTTCATCTGTATACTAGCTGTCACAAAGAGTGCTTAGGACGTGAAACTAACATCCAAGCCAGGTCTCGAAAGCGGCATTGTCAAAACCTTCCAATACGCACCTGAATAAGGTACTCTGAAAAGAACTTCAGAAGCGAATTCATCTGCCTGGTAACTCCACAATGGTGAGTATCTCCGATGGTGTATTGAAGGAATTCAAAAGGGCTAGCCATCCATCTGATTCAACCATCAGAACCCGAAGTTGAAAGAAAGAATTTGAAGAAATAAGGCAGGAATAGTCAGAATACTGTTATCATCATCACAAACGTGATCATCGTTCGTGACAGACTCAACGTGCACGCGCAATAGGGCAACGGAAAGCCCCTTGTATTTATATTTGAAGAGAAGATTGGTAGCTCAGGTCTCTGAGTCTCTCTCCAGGTCCTTGGTTTGTTCTCTAACCTGTGCAGTTTGGCTGCAAACATTTCAACATTAGTCGAGGTGATAGCATCAGTGCATTTTGAATTGACGCGCGCAGTTGTTGAGCGTGCATAGATCGATATGGGGTTAACTCATTCAGGTCGACCTTGACCAATCATTGGTCGTTTGAGTTAGCATTCCGATTGGCTTCCCGCCGTGACCGTTGTTTGTTTGCTTGCACAGC